ACTGAAGGATGTAGTATCCATTTAATCCGGAAGAATTGGAAAATCAACGAGTATGTGATTTAGACAAGACACCAATTGATTCATGTAATGTAACAGGGCTGTGGAAGGGAGACGGACTTGATCTACCATCAAAATGCCGCGAGAATTATCCGTTCGAGAACACAGTCTTCGATTATAGCAATGTATTTTGTTATCTTTGTAACACACAAGACCTCATTTATCCAGAAGAAACAACCCGAATTGAAGACATTGCTGGAGTGGTCAATGACGAATTAACTGACCTTCAACCTGTAAATTATTCAGTATTTGATATCTATCAGGTAATGCTATGCACATTTCGACCTTTCTATGTTCTAGGTAGGACTCAGCAGCTCTTGGCCCTCGGCTACATGTTAACCGTGGTTGATTCCTGCCCTCATCCTATCTATAATGTTTTCTTTGGAAGAGGCAAACAAAATTGAAAAAACATACATTCAAAGTTTCTTAAGTTTATCCTTAATCCTCTAAATTCTGAAAAAATAGCTACTTTTCTTCAAATAGACTACAGATATTACGGTCAGGTGGCCTCTTTTAAATCATATCACTAAATTCATGACAACCTCCCTCCCCCACACTCTTAGATACGGGTCTGATGCTATATAAACGCTTTGGACAAAAGATTTACAAAATATGTTTAACAAAATCATTTATGTCGTATGTGTTTATTTCTCTAGAATGTGTGTCGACCTGTATTATGTCCTGATGGAAGACAATTAGTTAATGGTACCTGCAAATCATTGTTCCGGCGATTTAATGGTTACATATACACAATCTGTTTGAAATATAAGATTACGGTTGATAGATCACAATTGGATCGTTACTTACTGACTGACAAGTTCACAAATGAGTTCTTAGTCAAAATTGCCAAACCAGTAGTAGCAACGACGGACTTTTTTTTAATGCAGGATTTAAAGGCCATACTCAGTATGACCCCATGCGTAAATGGATATTTAAATGCAACAATGGCAATTGGGCTGCATCTAAGTCCTTCGAAATCACTAGAATCTGAGGATGTAATTATTCGTCATATTCAGGACACAATTAAGATGACAGTTGGTTCTGATGACACAGCACCGTTTACAATTTTATCAGTAGAGCAGATACCTGATTGTCTTGAAGAGGATATGACTGAACAAGGGGCAGACATGAGTTGTCTTAAATACCAGTCCCAACGCCCCCCAAGAGTTTTTGTATATCACACGTCTCTTAGCTATTTATTTTCAGCGAAACGAGTGACCGTTTCCAATCTACTCATGTGTGTACAAATGGTACTTGAACGACTAGAAGTGGATCACGATTCGGACATGGGTGTGATCACGATCCTGGCGAACAACAAAACTCTCACGTCAACAGAGTTCCAGTTGGAGGATGCAGGCTATCTGATTTGTGTTGAAGATTACATAGAAAATGCGAAAATAGTCCAAACCAAAGGCTGTACTGCTCGGTCTGTCTCTGAATATGCAGAATCAACATCCAGAGTTGCCGGCCTTGGTGGAAGCATATTCTCATGTTTACTGTTATATGTTATGGTTTTTTTCACATTCTAGAAGCATTTGACATTTTTCGTACAAGCGATAGCCTTGAAATACAAAAATACAAATACAGTTATGGCAGATATTAATCAGAAACATAAGCACAAATGTATTTGGAAACCAAACTTTGGGCACTTATATACAATGTTTTTACACCAACTACTGTGTCAATTTTATTTTACATCGAATGTTTTGTTATGTTTTATATTTATATGTGAAAAGTTCATTGGCTGCTACCAAGGTTTCGTCAAACTGTTGTTTTGAATTTGTTTCACGGTTTGGATCGTTAGTAATCGGTTTTTATTTATATACTAAACTGAACCATCTGTATTGTTAACGTTAATGACTTTTTATTCAATGTTCTCATCGCTATTTCTTAATTCTTAATTCGAAATTATTATCTCTTTATTTGCACATTTTAAAATTTGTCATTGTATATTGACGTTTGTTTACAAAAATCATAATTGGTACTGAAAATGAACATTCTTCGATAAACATTCGGTTTTCCAATTATTGAATTAATAGAATTCTTGCCAAAAATATCCTCAAATACAGATCTACAAATACAAATCTAGTTCAACATATCTTCAAATGCAAACGTCAAACACAAAACTCTACCAACAAATGTACAAATACAAATGTTCAATAACAAATCCCGATCAACAAATCTTGCGAAACATTACTCCAAATACATCGAATATATTTGAATGTCATGATTATGACAACAGATGTCGCTGTACAGTCAACATAAATTAAGGTATAGACTACAGAGAGCATCTATCATCCAGTAAAAAATCTAAACATGACCATACCATATAGGACAGGCCTATTGTCAACGTGAAACTTTTCACAGAGTACAATTTTCAAGAAAATATTCGATATTTTTGTTCAAAGTCTCACAGCTAGTATCAAGATAAAGGAAAAAATAGGTTTAGCAATTTTGATTTGCCCACAATGGCACAAATACACAAAGCTGTAGGGTAGGTGTAGCCTAGACTCTAGTATTGGTGATTTAAAAAAAACAAAAAAACATCACAGTTACTAATATGATTACAAGCTATCGTCTTTAAATGCTATAAATAAACTGACATAGCCCAACTAAATAAATTCTTGTTGGAAATCGAAATTAATTATTAACACACACAAGAACCGGAAATTTTTTGAGATTCAGTAAACTTACCTTTCTCGAACAACTTCTATCTCTACTTCGTAGGACTCGTATGAACTTCAGTCCTGTTTTGGAATGATTCAAGCTCATGAAAATTGCAGACGAAACAAGGGGTCCACGTCTTCGCGGAAATTGCAGACTGTCGTCGTAGTTGAGCGTGTATGATAGAGGCTATCTATAGTCTATATCTTATTTAAAGTTATTTTTGTTAGTTGTCTAGCGACATCTGTCGTCATAATCATGACCTTCCAATACATTAGACATATATTTGGAGAAATGTTTCGCAAGATTCGTTGAGCGAGATTTGTTATTGAACATTTGTATTTGAACATTTGTTGGTAGAGTTTTGTGTTTGACGTTTTGCATTTGAATATGTTATGAGTTAGATTTGTAATTGTAGATTTGTATTGGAGGGAATTTGTGTAAAGAATTCTATTAATTCAATAATTGGAAAACCGAGTGTTTATCGAAGAATGTTATTTTTCAGTACAAATTAGGATTCTTGTACACAAATGTCAATTTTCAATGACAAACGTTGAATATAAGAATTTAGTATTAAGAATTAAAAAATAGCAATGAAGAATAAAAAGGCATTCCGCCTTCCATATGCTACAATGTGATTCGACTGTCTTTTGGTTTTGCACTTTTGTCATTTGCATTTTGATTAAACGATTTTTCACTTAATCCGATACCAAATTAATTTTGGAAATTTTACTTTGAATTTGATTACAGTTCTACTTTGATCAGAAAATATTGGTAAAGTTTTGTAGTGATCCAGAACTATTGTTCCACTTTATTTCGATACCAGATTAGTGTAGCCTTATTTTGTCTTGAATAACAATTAAATCTATATATTTATCATAGACTATGTTATAATTTTAGTTAAATATTATAGATCCGAACTATTGATTTTACTATATTTAGATTCCAAACTATTGATTTTACTATATTTAGATTCCAAACTATTGGTTTTACTATATTTAGATTCCGAACTATTGATGCAACTATGTTTAGATTCCCAACTATTGGTGCAACTGCGTTTGATTCCAAACTATTGATGCAACTATATTTAGCTTCCGAACTATTGATGCAACTATGTTTAGATTCCGAACTATTGGTTTTACTGTGTTTAGATTCAGAACTATTGATGCAACTATGTTATTCCGAACTATTGATGCAACTAAGGTTAGGTTCCGAGCTATTGATGCAGATTTCAAACCATTAATGCATCTATATTTAGATTGGACTATTAGTGTTACTTTCTTTAGATTTCCAACTAATGATGCAACTATTCTGTTTACTATGTTCTAATTAGTAGAATGTATGAATGTTGAAAGTAGTACTCACTAACTGTCCATTTTTTGGTCAAAACTGTTCACTAACTGTCCATTATATTTTTCAAAAAAAGTGTCCATTTTTTAATACGCCCACGTGAAATGGGGGAGGGGACATTGGCGTCACCCATGTCCCTCGGTCTGTCCGGCCGTCCATCAACAAGTTATTGCCCTTGTCCTTGGAAACGCATTTAAGTTTTAGTTCATTTAACACTCTAGCAAGCTCAATTCCTGATGGATTTCGATGAAACTTGGTGCGACTTTTTGTAATCACATAAGGACAAACCCTATTGAAAATCAGAAGAAATCAGAAATATTTAGTCTGAGTTATTGCCCTTGTTCTTGAAAAAGTGTTCATTTTTTAGCCTGTAAACATTGTAGAATGCATAATTCTTGACGGATTTCGACGAAACTTAGTGTGAATGTTTGTAATCATCTAACAATTTGGAAAATCAAAAAACTCGACAAATATTATTGTTATTCCCCTTGATCTTGAAAATGCATTCAATTTTTTAGATCGTAAACACTCTAAAAGACACAATCTTGGCAGATTTTGATGAAAATTGGTGTGCGTGTTTGTAATCAACCAAGGTTGAACCCTATTGAAAATCAGAAAAATCTAGAATTATTTAGTATGAGTTATTGCCCTTGTTCTTCAAAATGCGTTCAATTTTTAGCCCGTAAACATTGTAGAATGCATAATTCTTGGCGGATTTCGACGAACCTTGGCGTGAGTGTTTATTATCACCCCAGGATGAACACTGGAAAATCAGAAAACTCGAGAACTATTTAGCATGAGTTATTGCCCTTTAGCTCGAAAACACTCTAAGATGCACTCTAGATTTTAACGAAACTTGGAATAATTTTTTATTAGATAATTATTACAGATTGACAGATTTTGGTGAAACTTGGTGAGGGTTTATAATCATCCAAAGATGAGCCCTATTGAAAACCAGAAAAATCGATATTATTTACTATGGGATATTGCACTTTTAACTAGTAGGCTCTTGAGAAGTCACAATCCTTGATGAAATTGTCTATTATCACCCATGGATGATCCCTATTGAAAATCAAAATATTTTGAACTATTTAATATAAGTTTAACGGTGGGTGTAAAATTCCGAATTCCCGAACTGTCCGAATTGTCCGAATTGGGTCAGAAAAGACCAAAAAATCGAAACTAAAATTGCGCCAAAGGTCGTGCACAAAATTCGGGAATCAGAACATTTTACATCAATAAACGAATATTTTGCTTTTTTCAGGTGTTGATTTGGGTCTTGAGTGTAAAAAGTCTTTACATGTACCAAAACTGTACGAAAATCTCATAATTCTTTCATATAGGCCTCATACAAGAAACTTTTTTTTATTTCGTTCACAAGTTTCTTTCTGAAATTGGGGTATCCGAAAGTTAAACTCCGTCAGAGACGTGTTGATATAGTCTCTGACACTCTTATCAACTTCGAGACTAGTGCTGCTAGTTACCCTCGTATATTTAACTCAGATCGCCATATTGTAAATATAATAGTTCCGATTACTTCCGTTCAAATGTCTATATCTAGTATCAGAGCCACGAGAACAAAGTTTCAGTTTATGAATCTATATTTATCTAATAGTTACTGTATAATTTATATTTTACATATACCACAATAAAACAATCAATAATTATTAATGAATAATTGTTTTTTAAATAGAATTTTTTTAAAATGAAAAATACATGTATTTCGTCTTGTGAATTTACACATTGATTTGGCCACACCAAAGTCACTACGCTATTCTAGCCAATCAAGTTCAATCTTCAGACAGAGTTATCTGTCTTTGCCAATTTACCTGGTAATATGTCAACCTTTAATGGCCGAGTCAATGTTTAACTCACGGAAAATAACGAATGAGCTGTACTTTGATGAAGTGGGGCTTGATGATTGAGTATTCTGTTTACACATGACGTCATCAACGGATGTTCAAAATAAGAAACCTCTTTCATAGACGGATAATTATGGATAAAATTTGTTAAGAAGGCTCAAATTTCGACGGTAAGCTGTGAAAGCTATAACCGATTAGCTTACCTGAAGACTTTCTTTTTTGAAGGTACGATTGACGATTGGTGCGCTAGCCTTTAGCGGACCTAAACGAATGGACTGAATAGCCTTATCAGCTTAATGATAATAATAAAGGCGATTTTTCTGTGCAACATTAGTGAACAATTAAAATATTCTAGATACTTCATTTAGATATAAAATATTCATTTTTCATATTAATCCATAATGTTCCTGCCTTTCATTTTATTATTAATCTATGATACAAAACAGTTCCATATAATTTAAAATCTCTTCCATAATTAAAACCCCACTCTGTAACAATACTGTAAAGTGATCTACTTCTACAACCCGAATAAAACATATTGAAAGTATCAATAATTCATTCAGTTACTATATAAAAGTTATTTCGTATTTTGAACGGTGCTCATATTCTTTGACTCAACATGGAAGTGCTACATATTTACTTTCTTGTTTATACTTTACTAGCAGTCCGATTTATTTACGGTTCAAAATTGTTGATTGAGAGAAACATTCTTATCAATAAAACGTACAAGGATGCCTATCTTGACTTCTGTAAACAATCATGTATTCAAAGAGATTTAATTCCATCTCCACACTGTGGTAAATGTTACTGCGATGGAACCTGTTACCTATATAATGACTGTTGTCTGGATACGAGAATAATGAATAACTACCCCGAAGATATGATTGATATATCTTGTACAGCAACTACCTTCCCATTACTGAAGAAGAAGACTGGAATAAACACCGAACCATGTGACCCAAATATTCGAGATTGTCCTGCATATTTATACGAGGAGCATGCAGAAGCTTACAAACTGAAAACGTCTTGTCCCAAATCCTTCAGTGGTAGCCAGGAGGTAGTCACACGCTGTGAAAATATCGACATGGAAGAACAGAGTACAATTCATCCTGTTACAGATATGAATACACAACTCTCCTATAGGAATGTCGACTGTGCCAAGTGTAATGAAGCAAACAACATCAAAAAATGGGAAATGTTGGTAATTTGTAGAGGTGAAATACCGGCTCAATTTGGTAACAGTGTCAAGGAACTCTTTCATATTTTCAGAACCACTGAAGGATGTAGTATCCATTTTAATCCGGAAGAATTGGAAAATCAACGAGTATGTGATTTAGACAAGACACCAATTGATTCATGTAATGTAACAGGGCTGTGGAAGGGAGACGGACTTGATCTACCATCAAAATGCCGCGAGAATTATCCGTTCGAGAACACAGTCTTCGATTATAGCAATGTATTTTGTTATCTTTGTAACACACAAGACCTCATTTATCCAGAAGAAACAACCCGAATTGAAGACATTGCTGGAGTGGTCAATGACGAATTAACTGACCTTCAACCTGTAAATTATTCAGTATTTGATATCTATCAGGTAATGCTATGCACATTTCGACCTTTCTATGTTCTAGGTAGGACTCAGCAGCTCTTGGCCCTCGGCTACATGTTAACCGTGGTTGATTCCTGCCCTCATCCTATCTATAATGTTTTCTTTGGAAGAGGCAAACAAAATTGAAAAAACATACATTCAAAGTTTCTTAAGTTTATCCTTAATCCTCTAAATTCTGAAAAAATAGCTACTTTTCTTCAAATAGACTACAGATATTACGGTCAGGTGGCCTCTTTTAAATCATATCACTAAATTCATGACAACCTCCCTCCCCCACACTCTTAGATACGGGTCTGATGCTATATAAACGCTTTGGACAAAAGATTTACAAAATATGTTTAACAAAATCATTTATGTCGTATGTGTTTATTTCTCTAGAATGTGTGTCGACCTGTATTATGTCCTGATGGAAGACAATTAGTTAATGGTACCTGCAAATCATTGTTCCGGCGATTTAATGGTTACATATACACAATCTGTTTGAAATATAAGATTACGGTTGATAGATCACAATTGGATCGTTACTTACTGACTGACAAGTTCACAAATGAGTTCTTAGTCAAAATTGCCAAACCAGTAGTAGCAACGACGGACTTTTTTTTAATGCAGGATTTAAAGGCCATACTCAGTATGACCCCATGCGTAAATGGATATTTAAATGCAACAATGGCAATTGGGCTGCATCTAAGTCCTTCGAAATCACTAGAATCTGAGGATGTAATTATTCGTCATATTCAGGACACAATTAAGATGACAGTTGGTTCTGATGACACAGCACCGTTTACAATTTTATCAGTAGAGCAGATACCTGATTGTCTTGAAGAGGATATGACTGAACAAGGGGCAGACATGAGTTGTCTTAAATACCAGTCCCAACGCCCCCCAAGAGTTTTTGTATATCACACGTCTCTTAGCTATTTATTTTCAGCGAAACGAGTGACCGTTTCCAATCTACTCATGTGTGTACAAATGGTACTTGAACGACTAGAAGTGGATCACGATTCGGACATGGGTGTGATCACGATCCTGGCGAACAACAAAACTCTCACGTCAACAGAGTTCCAGTTGGAGGATGCAGGCTATCTGATTTGTGTTGAAGATTACATAGAAAATGCGAAAATAGTCCAAACCAAAGGCTGTACTGCTCGGTCTGTCTCTGAATATGCAGAATCAACATCCAGAGTTGCCGGCCTTGGTGGAAGCATATTCTCATGTTTACTGTTATATGTTATGGTTTTTTTCACATTCTAGAAGCATTTGACATTTTTCGTACAAGCGATAGCCTTGAAATACAAAAATACAAATACAGTTATGGCAGATATTAATCAGAAACATAAGCACAAATGTATTTGGAAACCAAACTTTGGGCACTTATATACAATGTTTTTACACCAACTACTGTGTCAATTTTATTTTACATCGAATGTTT